ATTTGTATTTTAGGCCCTGAGTATTTGTGTATGTTGAAATATATATGTTTATAAAGCTAAAATACTAGTTCAAGTGTAGAAATTATAATTTGAACATATTTGGATTGAATTAGATGCAAAGTAATGACAATTTACCTCTCCCTCTATTTTTGGTAAAATGGGGTTAAGGAGTGAATTTTTGTTATACTATTTTTAGTGCTTGTGACGTGTTGTATTGGTAGTCCTAGGTCCAATAGACATGGTTCAGATGTTAGGAAAAGCTTTTAGCACTTGTTGAGAGTTTTGGACACCCATTTTATGTGAAAGTTGTAAAATGTGGTTAAAATGTGTTTGGATATCTAGCTTCTTGGTGTGACTTATTTTGAAAGTAAAACCTATGCCACTAGTTAGTTCATGTTAAGAGCTTTCTATAGACACTTAGATCACACCAATTGAATGTCTGATGGAGAATTGGGGCGCGTTGGAAGTTTCCTGATTCTGCTGCCAAATGACAGCAAAATTTGTCAAATTTTCATGCAACACACTGCGGGTCATAGCTCCTGAGCCATGATGCATGGCACAAAGAGCAACACGCTGGGCACGAGCCACAGCTTATTACCTTGTATCACATCATATGTTTTGTTTTTCAGTCATCTTCAAATTCTTTCACTCCTCTGAGGTATCCCATGCTTTCAAAACTTGTTTTTACTCTAATATAAAGGATTTGATTGTTTTAAACTCATTGTTATTTAAAAAACTTGGGATCCCTTTAATTTAAACTAAAACTTGGTAATCAGCTTTAAATCTTTGATCACCATGAGCTATAGTAGTGAATTGTGTTTAGTGGAATGAGATTTTACATTACACTTAACCCATTGCTTGGAAAAATCACTTGTCATGGGATGTAAGTACACTCCAAATTGTGATCAAACACTTCAGTTTAGCCATTGGTTTGGGAATGATAAGTTGAATAACATTGTAATTTAACCCCATATAATAGAGAGAGTTCCTTTTAAAACTTTTCATAAAAGATTGAATCTTAGTCAAAAACAACAAATTTAGGAAAACCATGCAACTTGACAACATTATCCATAAATATATTAGCAGCATCCACAACAATAAAAGGGTGTTTCAAAGCCATAAAGTGAGAAATCTTTGATAAGCAGTCAATTAGTACCAAAATAGTAGTTTTAGAGTAAGATTTAGGAAGACCACTAATAAAGTCCATAGAAAAGCTCAAACCACACATGCTTAAGTATGGGCAAGCGTTGGAGAAGCCTAAGGGAAGCTACTAATTCTAGCTTAAAGCGTTGACATATTGTGCATTGACGCACATAATCATAAACATCTCTCTCTATCCCCTTCCAATAAAAAAGGAAGCAAGTCTCTGGTAAGTTGGAGTCATACCTAAATGCCCTCTTATGCCATCAGCATGAAAAAAATTAGAGCAAATCCTCTTTATGTCCACGATCAACCCTTATCATATCCGTTTTAGCAAATAGTATTCCCAAGCATACTTAGGATTAGACAAGGCGTCAAGTTCTATACTCTTGATGAGCTGCTGCAAAAGGTCGTTAAGGAGCTAAAAGTCTGCTACTCTGTCATATAACAGCAAAATAGGCATTGAAATAGCCAAACAATCCCCATCAGAGTGCCTTGATAAATGTCAGCAACTGTATTATCACACCCCTTATGATAAACTATCTCATAATCTAATCCTTATAGCTTATGAAGCCATTTACATTGCTCCTGGCTTAAATCACACTACTCTAAAAGATGTTTCAAGGGCAAATGGTCACTCTTAATAATGAATTTTCATCTCTAAAGATAAGATCACTACTACTTAACAATAAAAACAATGGCTAGCATCTCATGTTCATAAGAAAACAATATGGGCTCTTTCTTGCCAAAAGTGCCTTACTAGTAAAAGCTAAGGGAATTCTATTTTGAAACAATATGGCCCTTAATTCATGCCCAAAGCATCAATCTCAATCACACAAGTCTCATTAAAATTGCCAAGAGCAAGCATCGAAAGAGAGATATTGGCATTCTTAAAAGACTTAAAAGCTATTTGAGCCTAGGGAGACCAAATAAAGCGCTCATTCTTCTTTAATATCTCAATTAATCTTGATAAACTATTTAAAATAACCAGTAATCCTAGGAAACCCCTTAAATCCTTAATTAAAAAGGGAATTGGCTAAGAAGTAATGGCTTCTAGCTTCTTTAGATTGGCTTAAACCCTATAAACTTGGATAACATGGCCAAGATAATCTATTTTCCTTACTGCAAAATTACATTTAGAGATCTTAGAAAAAAGTTGATGCTTTTGCAAGAGAGATAAAGTCTCTTTCAAATGCTTCAAGTAGGTTATCCAATACTTGTTGTGCACTAATATATCATCAAAGAAGACCAAAATGAACTTACACAAAAAGGATTTGAAGACCAAATTCATTAAATCTTAAAAGGTAGAAAGGGCGTTAGTAAGGACAAACGACATGACCATATATTCATACAACCTTTCATGAGTACAAAAGGCTATCTTGGCAATATCAACCTCATTCATTCAAATTTGTTGATACCTAGCTCGTAAATCCATTTTAGAGAAGTATTGAGCCCCAATGAGTTCATCTAAGAGGCCCTAAATAACTAGAATCAAAAACTTATTTTGATAGTGCCCTCATTTAATATTCTATAATCAACATTACAAAAGTGCCACATCCCACCATTCTTCTAAACTAGAACAATAGGGGTGCTAAACGAGCTATTTCTTTCTTGAATAATTCCATTATCTAGCATTTGTTAGACTTGCTTTTTCAATCTTTTTTTTTTAGGACAAGCCCATAACAATAAGGTTTGCAAGTGATTAGGTGATTCACCTTAAGGGGAATAACATGGTCAAATGAATAAGATGGGGGAAGTGTAAAAGGCTTCACAAATACATCCAAAAAGGAATTCAAGAGATTATGTAATTGATGGTAAAAAAGAGAAGAGTTCTATGGATGTTGTACCTATAATTGATGAGAATTGTGAACTAAATAGAGATGATCTGTAGACAATATATTATGATCTAAGAATGGTATTTGAGAAGAAAAATTGTGCCTTGTGCTCAAGCCCTCTTAACTCAACTAGTTTGCCATCCTTGTAAAACTCAAATGATTTCTTGGCCATGTCCAGGGTGAATTGCCCTAAGGTTTTCAACTATATATATTGAACCCTTAAAATCATGTTATATGCGCCAATTTTTATAACCAAGAAGTCAAAAGAAAAGAATGAATCTCCTATACCCTGTTCCAAATTTGAATAGTGTTTTGTAATAAGAATTTAGCGATTACTAATACTTGAGTTTTCAACTTAAGTCATTTAGCTACCCTTAAATCAATGACATTATGAGTACTCCATGTATCAATTATAATGATAACTCTTTGGCATTTAAATTGACCAAGTAAGCGTAAGGTCATTGTGCCTTCCTTCCCCTTGATAGCATTTATCATGCTAGCGGGTTCATTAGGTTCAACCTCTTATTAGGCATCTTCAAACACTGTCATGTCTTCATCAATCAAAAGAGATAAAACTTAAGATTCTTTGTATCAATGGGTGCTCGTGTATTTGTCATTACACCAGAAACACAAGCCTTTATGATATCTATCATCCATCTCATGCTTGGAGAGATGTTTAGAGGGCTTAAAAGATGTTGACCTATGGCTACTAATAGGTAGGCCCTATTTGGGTTTATAGTGGTTTTGGGAAATGAGTCACTCTTACTCGTATGGGAGAAGATAAGAAGTCAAGAGAAATTAGTTGACTTAGGTGTGGAAGAGAAAGTAGACAATCTTCAAGATGGTGCAGTGTTAAGGCTATAAATGTAAATTGCACGAATTGCGACCACTTGCTAGCAAGCTAACTTTATTGCATCAGCTAAACAAGAAGGTCGAAAGCTTAAAACACTCTACTAAACATCCTCATGCAAACCTCTTATATAGCAATTCATGGCTTCTGATAAATCAACCTCAGTGAGCAACTTATCGAATTTCTCCTCATAATCTTCAATGGAGTCACGCATTTAAAGGTTCTTAGGGGTAATCATAGGATTCTCATCTTTTATGTCACCAAAATTGGCTTCCATTTCTAGATGAATGCTAAGAAAGCAAATACGATGCTCAGCTAATGTCTCATCAACTTCAAAGAATTGACAGCAACAGTAAGCCCAACCTTTGAAATCAATGCTATCGAATTTAGGAATTCAACTCGATTGTGTTTGGTGGGAGCATAGTAAGGGAACGATGGTATGGGTAGGATGCCATGGAAAGAACTAAACTAAGATAGGGGTGTAAAAATTAGGGGTGGAGGGACTGGAGCAAAAGGTGTCACAAGTTGAGAAAAAATAAAGGGTGGCCCAATGGAAGGTGGGATGGCGATGTTATAGGTTGATGAGGCTAGGAAGGCTCACCAATTTCAAAAATAGGGGTGCAAGTAGGTTGGTTAGCTAGAATGGAAAGTTTGGTTAACATATTAGTGAGTTGGTTGAAGAATTAGGTCAAGGTTTGTTTAATATCGAAGCTGTTCTCAATGTTTTTCCAAACAAGGGCAAATTGCATTTAGAGATGATGCTCCAAATCACTTAGCTATTCAGTGGAGGATCGTGTCTCCAACAGAGCCATAGTCAGAGAGACATCTCTGACACCTAATGTTAAGAGGAAAGGAGGAGGAGGAGGAGAGGCATGGTATATACCCTAAAACTAGATGCATGCCATATGAGGCATGGTCCAACACTATCAATAAATATCCCAAACTTCAGCAACACAAAAACAATAACAACATAATAACATAAAGACAATAAAGCCCTTAATGAGAGCAATAAACACAACTTAGTGCTCGAGTTGCAATAGATTTGAACACAAGTTTGATTCCAACCATCGGGATCCAGATCAATTTTGGAAGTCAAACACTAAATGGACAATGTTTTAGGTATTTGCCAATCACAAGCAGATAGCTGTTATGAATCTCTTATTAATGAGCTAGGGTTAACAGCACAAATAAATAATATAAATTCAATCTCCCAATTTGGTGCAAATACATTCACTAGTACTCTGGCAGTGTTGCATGATAATGTCTGCATGTCTGTAAACATACCAAAACATTCCCTTGCCTAATTACTAACTTTACAACTTTAACCTCAGCATAGATCATTTTCAAGTACAAGACAGTACTGTATATTATATGTACAATCTATATTAGAGCGCCTCATAAAACTGATATAGACTGAAGCACTTGATTGTTCAGCAACCACCATCAGCTGGCTCAATTGAGCTAAGAAGGCCATTTCCTCTCAATTGCATGCAGTGATCCTCAGCGTCGACTTGAGCACAGATGATTACCACTGACAGTCCATTATAATGTGCCTCTTGCATTATGTTAACTGCATTATCAAGTGTCATTCCGGGTATCACCTTCATCAACACTTGAACAACATATTCTCGCTTGTTAAAGTTGTCGTTATGCAGCATTACCCGATAAGGTGGGGACGTCTTTCTTGATCTCCTGCAAGACAATACACGTCATCCAGGTTTTGCCATCTCTTGGCACTTTCAGCTTCCTCATAATACCAGGAAGCAAAACTAAAATAATTTGCACAAATCTAGGGTCAATGTACATAAATTGATTGATTTACTTTAGAATCATGGCACCCTCTTTTGTTCCTTAATATAAAAGTAAAAGAAATGGCTCAATCACTAATCCTTTTGAATAACATTTGAACTCGTTTCAAGAACAAAGAAAACGTTTCTCCAGCAAAGTATTAAAGCAAAAAGGAATGTATGCTGTCACATTCAACTAGAGCAACACAAAAAATTAGGCTAATTGCAGAAAACTGTAAACAGATTGCAATTCTTGATTTTAAAATCCCAAAGCCACTACTCTAGCATTTCATCACTTTCACCAAGTTAGTTTCCAAATAACCAATGCCAGCAGTACCTACATTAGTGTTATCCAAAGACTAAGTCTAAAAGCATGACTTCATAAATGGCTGTCAGTCAGCATATCTTACAGTACTACAATGAGAAAAAGATCAAGCTCTGTGCTTGCAAGATGGTGTTTAGATTAGTTGTTTAAACAGTTAAACAGTTTACCATTATTTAAATAAAAGAAATATGAGATGCAACGAAGAAAATCAGATCCAAACAGCAATATTACTGAGAGCAGTTTTTCCCCTTTTCTTTCTTTCTTTCTTTCTTTTTTGGGTGGGGGATGGGAATTTAAAGAACATAATGAGGATCGCGTGAGAAAATAATTGGATATAATTCAATCCTAAAGTAGAAATAATGTCCCTGACATCATATCTGTAATTGTTGACTGCATGGCTTGACACAGCTGTAATATTGAAGTTGTGGTGACTAACATTTTCTGCAATCACCAGTCAACGTATAACTAATCTGTGCAGAATCGAAAGGCCTGATTCCAGATAGAAATGTGCATTCAAAATGGGTTATTCCAACTAGCAATCAGGTTTCCTTGATTGATACGTGCAATATAGAATGCATGTAGCAGAGGGTTTTAACATCTAACATGCACAATTGATATTGTCAGTCAAGGACTCACCAACAAGCTGGTAGGAATTTTAGTTGTGCCTGTAAAACAGACTGTGAACAGGATGTATGAACCAATCACCTACGAATTTTTCATCATTCTATGGAGAATTTCCAAGCTATTTCGTTTACAGTAAAACTTCTAATAAACCAGAACAGGATACTATTATAAACAGAATGCTCCCACGAAATTTCACCATTCTATGGAGGATTTCCAAGCTGCTTCATTTATAATAAAATTTCCAATAAACCAGAATAAGAGTCTTAATAATTAGAAACTCCCATCTTGCGCCTGCACTACTGTCATTACCGTATATCAAACTCGGATTCCCGACCAGGCGTTGTTGTCTCTATGGTTGGCCTCTCCAACAACCCCCCACCTTTCCCTAATCCCGTGGCTGATGCTGCCATTAGAGTGCTCCGATCTTTGTTATTTTTAAAAAGAAATCGTTTATCTCCTGCGATTAGAAATTGGAATGACAATTTTTACCCAAAAAAGAAAAAAGAAATTGGAATTACAATAACGGGAATCACTAAATGATTTAGAACCAAGTGCGAGAAGTTAAGGAATGCGATAATTAATCCAGAAAACAGCGTTTCTCATATTCGATTGTCTTTCACCTGAAAATTTTCAACAAATCTATATAACTATAGCAATTTCTTCACGCAATTACCAATTTTAAAGAGATTCAAGATGAATAAAGTATGTACCGTGATTTCTAGCATTCAAAAAATGGTTGGGAGAAAGAGCAAGTCGACTACAAAATGCAGCTTCCATGGCTCCGCCCTCAGTTTGGGTGTCTCTGTGCTTCTCTCTTGCTGTGTGTGGTTAACACTTGAAGGAGCTGCTTCTTGAGAAAATGATCAATTGACGAAGCCAAACAAAATGATTTTGAAAAAATAAAATAAATAAATTTTGCAGGGTCCTAACTGAAGAGGTTTTTGGAGCGTTGATATGGTGACACGTCGTGCACACCAAATCCTGAAATTATAAATCATCGTGTAAACATAACGACAATGTCATCATCAATTACCACAACAAAAATCTGTAGCATATATACGCCTGTGGCTTTCTTCGTTTGTTTGTTTGTTTGTTTTTTTTAGATAAAATTGGAGCCCAACAGCTTACATTTTATTCCCTCCAGTCATATTTATAAAATATTTTTAAAAATAATTTTTAATTTAAAATATAAAATATCTTATAATAATTAAATTATTTTTTTAATTTTACCCCTTGTTAATTAGTGTGAAAGTATTTAATATAATTATATTATTATTTAAAATTAAGGGTAAAAATAAAAATATTTTTCACTTTTTTATGATATTAAGAAAAAGATTAATTTTTTTTAAATAAGTAAAACAGTTAAAAATATGTTATAATAAGGATTGAAGAGAGTAAATTGTTGTGGCTAACATATCTTCGATGGAAAGGATGAGTAGAGTGACTTTTAAAGTGATTTTTAACCTTACATTATAGCAAGAGCAAAGGGTTTTCTTTTTATTTTTTTCACACTATGAAAAATTAAATATGAACGTTATTTATACACTCCTAAATTTAAATATTCTGGTATATTTTGTCATTAATAAGGAATTATTCTTAGACAAAAAAAGGAAAAAAAAAAGAGAAAAATGTTATGATTCAATATCTTTTATTATAATAAAAATGTTTATCCTTAATGACAAGGTAAAAATTCAACAAAAAATCGGGTTGGGGCATGAGAGAGCTATTTAATTGGACTTGACAATATTAGAATTTGACATGACAAAACTATTGTTAGATATCATATATTTGTGCAAAAATTTAATCCATCCACTAATTCTAACTATTTTGTCTCCAGCTAACAATTATCAAGAGACAGATACAGAGTGGAAGGGATCTTCTACTGATTTGTGATTGGCAAAAAAGGGGGGAAAAAATTGACTTTCATGTTCATCAATATATACCTATCATAAGAAATCGATGCCTCCATAAATTTTTAAAAATCTCCAGAGTAACTTAGAAAAGACTACAAAAAGCTTAAAAGAAAATATGACAAGTTTTTTTAAATTTTAAAAATAAAAATTGTTATTGTATAAAAAAAAAAACTGTTAAATGCGCCATAACTGTTAAGTTCAGTCCGATACAATTCCATTATTTATTCATCCATTAAAAGTTACTAACATTTGACACTTCTTGGCTGAGATGTGTACAATTACAAATCCACCATTTCATTGACAGGGTGTCCTGTACAGTACAAGCCAACGATAATTAGCCTATTTGGTAACGGTAAGAGTAAAACAGAGCATCCTAAAGAAAAATGGACAAAGAACAGAGCAAAGAGAAGAAGAAAATATGCACATCATGCTAGGCAACTACCCCCCTTGATTGAAACCAGAGTGGCCACATAGTTTACGGCTTGAGCTGAGTTCAGGACTGGGTTTCCCTCTATCTTCAAATTCTTAATCTTTTGAGTTACAACGTTGTAAGACTTAATCTCCCCACCACACGTTTCCAAAAGAAGCTCATCTTCCTTCCAGAAAACCAGAGGCTTGGGTTCTTCTAACAGATTCATTATGCTCTGCATCTTGGTCCATGAACCCTGAGCACCAAATCCCTTCATCACCCATATGTCAATCGACATGTTCAGACCTGAACCAGAACAGCAAATCAAAGAGATTGATTCTTTCCACACAGCCAGAGACCTGCGATCAGGTTTTCTGATATCCACGTTATCTGGCGCAGACACTCTGTGGAAAACCTCGTCTCCCATTTTCAGTCCTAGGATAATTGTCGACTTGTCTCCTCGTTTAAAACCCCACCAGTAATACGTTCCTTTGAAGAACAAGGCGAAACAATCATCTTCAAAATCAAAATCCCTAGTGTTGCTATTGTATAGTCTTGCCCATGAATCAGTGCTCAGAGAATACATCTCCACGCGATTCGTTGTATACACACCAGTATCCACCGTCCAAATCCTCACAACCTTGTAATCATCCGTTTGGGAATTATATCCCAATCCAACAGCTAAAGCAAACGATGATTTGGACCGCATATTGGAATCAGGAAGGCATTTGAATTCTCTGGTCGCTGGGTTATACAAAATAACCTCGTTACATTGAGACCAATAGCCTCCTGACAAACAGAGTATACCATTACAGTGACCGGAGATTCTGAATTTGGTGGAAAGAAGTTTGACTTCGGGCAACAAGGTATCATCAACTGAAGAATCGTTGCTAGAAAGGGAAAAGAGTTTGTAATTTTGCATGGGCAGGCCATAGGACGTAGTGGGGAAAGAGAGCCTGAGGATCACGCTGTTACCGAAGGTGTGGTGTTTGATGAAATGAGAGACGTGAAGGGCTTGGAAAATGGGGTCGGTGAAGAGAGCGTACCAGAACTTGCAGACGCACTTGAATCGCAACAATGATTTGTAAGGAAGCCTTGAGAGTATATCCTCCAACAGTTCCTGAGGCAGATTTGAATTTAATTCCCTCACCATTTACTGCTTCTCTTCGTCTCTGCGTTTCGTTTCTGGTCTTCCTTCTTTTCTTAGCCTTCTTTTATTCGGTCGTCTTAATTTTCAAGGGAGGTGGACGCGATAGACAGGATTGCCTATTCTTTCCTGATTATAGTACTGTCAGTTTTAGCCACATTTATTATTTAGGCCAAAGAAAACCATATTTATGATATTTTTAAGGGAGAAGACTGTGTAATTTTTCCTGTTAAAAATAAATTTCATTCAGATAATCACTTGCTTATATTTAATGGTATCTCGATGGAGCTTGGCTGAGTATACCAAAACAACAAAATCTTGTGAAAACAAATTCGATTTCTCCTCTTAGTTTTAGCTTCGTAGTCCATTTTTTATTCGCTTGCTTTTGAATTGACTTCTTTTTTTTTTTTCCCTCGTTTGAATTGACTTCATTGTCTAGAAGGAAACGAGAAGTTCCGATCACTTCGTTTGTTCTTCTTCTTCTCCTTCTCCTTCTTCTTTTTAACTGCCGCAAGATTTAAAAAAAAACCGTCACGCAAAGTCCCTGTTTGTTCGCTCCGCAACAGGTTCAATGGGCGGCCGAAGAAGCACGAGCGGTCGCATGATTTCCTATTTGTCTATTTTTTTTAATGTGAGATACTATTATAAATGGAATAAATAATTCATGAGAAAAGGAGTAGGCCAGGGTCCCAAAAATGTAATGAATGATAGAGAAAGATCTCGACAAAAAATTGTGAATAATTAAAGTCATGTTTGTATATTTTTAAATTATTATTTATCTCCTGTAAAATTACAAATCCAAAATATTTTATATCGTTCTATATTGCCATTGAATCTTAAGAGCCTTTTAATATATTTTTCCTTATTCATAAAAAAATATATTTTTATTAATACCATGTCAGACATTTTTTAAGGAAAAAATGTTTTCTCCATCATCAAATTACTAAAAATATCGCATGTTTAAAGAGAATATGTACTGGCCAAAATAAGAGAATATGTGGGTTAAAAAGTTAGAAGTAACTTTGGCCAAAAAAAAAAACAAAAAACAAGAAGAAGAGTTTAGAAATAACTATATTAGTATTACCAATTACTAATTGATTATTGAAAGGAGGCATAGTTATTTTCCAACGTTTTTACATCATTTAAAATGCTTGAAATGAAACATTTATTTTCCCCTCTTTCTTTTACAGTTAAAAAAAAAAATGAGAGAGAGAGAGTAAACTTTATCAATATTAAAAGGAAAATGTTTTTTAAAATGAAGGAAGCCTAATCAATGATACTCAGTCGCAAGTGTCTCGCGGTTTACGAAATAAACGTGGATCTGTAACTATTCTGTGTTCTTCAGGAACTGTATTTTATTCAGGATATAGATGTAACGTTATCAGGTAAATTGATAATAATAAGTATTAATCTGGATCCAGGCCATTAGGCTGAGAAAAGTATAAATAAATATAATTCACTAAGTAAATTAATAAACGAAACCTATTGTCATTGGTCTTTTGCCTTTACAAAAATAAAGATTTACAATATAAAATGGACTTGTTGATAATCAGGAATCAGGCCTAATCCCAAGCCTAAAGGGATCCTCCTCGATAAAACCAGTTGCCGCTGTTGGTTGACCCTTTTTTTTTTGGGCCTGAAACTGTTGGCTCACTTCAATAAGTCTTTTTACAAATAAGTCACATGTTTTGTTATTTTTACTGGAACAGGACAAGACTTATAAAACACTACATAAATAATTAAATCTTTTTATCCAAAATCTGTTTTCAAACATGTATCAGAGATAATTCAAATTTTTAAAGTTCTTTGATATTAAAACGATGCTAGGTCTTAGATGATATTTTCCCAACAATAAAAGGAAACTACTTCGTTTTCACTTTAATGGATATGAAACCAACACATAACTTGATCCAAGGAATTCAAATTCCGTTAAAGACAAAGTGTTAGCCAAGACTTCAGACATGCCATATAAAATTGGTTCAGAGATAAAGTGCATTTTTAGATGCATCAGTTATGCACACAAGTAGCTTCCATTTTTTAGGTTCACATCACACCACTAGCTCCTGGTTTAGGATCAAAATCACGAGGGAAAATTTGTATTAAGCTTCCAATAACTACAAAAGATTCATAAAGCTGACATATAGTATGTTTCCATACTAGTACTGAAGTCGAGAAGAATAACAAAATTTAACTCTGGAAGAATAAAATCTATCGAAGTCCACCATGACATCTCAGAAACCGATTTACCCAGCAGAAACACTACAGAACATTGAAAATGCAGGATTAAGCAGTAGCAGATGGCTTAGATGCAGCAGAGAGCTTAGATCTCCTCTTAGCCAAACTCTCACTGCGGCGTTCACGCTGTTCCTTCAACCGGCTGGCAAGCAGCTTTTGATACTCAGCAGCCTCTGCCTTGGCCTTGGCTATTCTCTTCTTCTTGTCTGCGATCCTCGCTCGCTTCCTTTGCAAAGTCAAGGGAGTAACCAACCTCTGAATTTTGGGAGCTTTGCTCACCTTCTTGCCTGCAGAATATTAGGCACTATCAAAAAACAATATCACACAAATAGAAGTTTAAAATGTTCTTGATCAAACAACAAAACGACCTAATAAACTCACCAGCTTTGGTCGTAAAGGTTCTGCGGTATGTGTTAACATATTTACGTACGTCATCCTCCTTGGAGAGGTTAAACAACTTCCTAATCTTTGAAGCCCTTTTTGGCCCTCTCATCCTTGGCTTCTCAATGTCAGTCAATCCTGGAAGATCATTCTCACCTTTCTTCACAATAACTAAGTTAAGAACAGAGAGGTCTGGACTGACAATGCAACCACGAACAGACTTCCTTCTCCTCTCTCCGTTCCTTCTTCCATAGCCTCGGAAGCACGGAGTTCCTGCTCAATTAGACAGTTAAAAAAAAAATCAACATTTACACAGCAGGAGACAGAAACGCAATCATGTAAAAAACAGTGACCTCTGTGCAGCAAGAGACGGACACGGCCAGGAGTTAACACTCCCTGCTTCATTGGAAACCCTTGTTTGTCACATCCTCCAGTTATTTTGAAAACATAACCCTTAAACTCCTGCAAACAACCATCAAAAAGAAGAACAACAACAAATTATCAATTATTAGTATTCAATATCATGAAGCATAAACTACAAACAGAAAGATAGAAAATTATACCTCACCCAGCGCATCTCCACTAACTTCTTGTGATATCCTCTTGTCCCAAAATGCTCGACTGCCAGGGAACAGTGTTCAATTCAATTAAAATGTACATTAAATTATATATATTACATGTATATATAAATTTTATACATATATACATATTGAAATTCTATATACATATATTGAAATATATACAGTAAATTGAATGAATTGATTCTTTCAAGAATGCTGTTCTTGAAGACTTCCAACAGTCTTGACCTTGGTCTTACGATGAGGTTAAAAAACAGTTGGTCCCCAATCTGATAAATGATCCTCAGAATAAACATTTTTCTGGGATAAAAAGTAACGCATCTTATTATTATTTACTAACTTACAATAGATAAGAGTCTTTGACGGCCACAACAGTACGCTTCACTCTCCCAAAAACTAGAAACTACAACATATATTCACGTGCTAACTAAAAGAACCATTCCAAATACCAACTATCCAGTGTCACCTGTTCTAGATGAAAATAGCCTCATCCATAAAGAAGAATATCATAAGAACTAAGATAAGACTTACGAGAAGTTACTAATGTTAATGTATTTTGATCAATAAAATTAAGACAGATTTTTCCCCTGGAGAAGAGTCGTCTATGTTTTATTTTAACGCCTACAGAAGCTCGTCTGAGTTTTGACGTATTTAAATTATGAAGACCAATTTGAGAAGTCAATGGGACGCAGTTACCAGTTGACATTCTTCAGAATGTAACTTGCCAACCTACTGTAAACCTACCGCATTGGAAACAGCAGAAGAAAAACAAAAGGAAAAGAAAATTACATCCCAATCTTGCATAGAACAAGAAGCAAAATTGAATAAAATGCAAGGGGACACTTCACAATTGTATCACTCACAGTTTAGCATCATCATCAATCTCAAGCTTCTTCTGGCACCCAGTGGTGGGATTGGCAATGTTGAACTGGAGGAGTGAAAACAGGCTAGCATTAGAATTATATAAATCATATTGAATAAAGGGAGATAGGAACCTCAGACATCCACATACCTTCATCTTTTAGATAGGATCACAAATACCGCTCCTCTAGAAGCTCTACTCCCTTAACATAGTACAAGAAGAATAGACATCAATGTGCAGCAGAAAAACAATAAAATTTAACAGCAGACTCTCGATTTAGAGACTGAAAGCAAACCCGCTGCTCAAACGATTTAGTAAGATTTGAAATTAGAAAATGGAAAATCAAAAGCCGGAATATTCCATTAAAATTGGGAAAGGACGGGAAACTTACGGAGCTGAAGTTGTGGCAAATAATTCTCGGCGGGCTGCTGATTCTGAACAGACCGAAGCTAGGGTTTTGTGAGGAACAGACTGAGCTGAAAAAAGGTGATCCGGCGGCTTAGGCTGATGGAAAGACAGAAAGATGTATCCTGACCGTTCATTGAGAGGTTGAAATTTTGGATTTTTTTTTTTGGGCCCAGAGTTAAAATTTGGGTTCGAGACCCACGGATTCTTATTGGGTTAGCCCCCGATGGAAAACAATACAAAAGGGGAAGCGCCAAAAAAAAGAAACAAGAAGAATGGAAAATATTTTTTGAGGATTTGTTTGTTAAGAAATATAAGATATTTTTAATATTTTAATTTATAATTAATATATTTTTAAAAAATATTTTTAATAAATAAATTATTTTATATTTGTTTTTAAGTGAAATATCATATTAAATAAAGGTAAATTTGAAAAAATGTTTTTAGTTTAAAGATAATTCACTAATTTATTGGGATGAAATTCAATTAAAAATTTATTATGTTTTTTAAGAGATAGAGTACCATATATATATATATATATATATTATGCATGTGGTAACTTTTATTTATTTGTTACAATTCAATACTATAAGGAGAAATTTTTAGATAGATCAATACACCTCATCATTGGTAATTTATTCAATAAAAACATGATATTCAGATAATATTAAGTATAAATTGATTATGATAATAATGATATTAGAGATAGAAAACATAAGAAATTAAATATACATTATATTATAAGAATAAAATTAATTAAAATAATGTCACTTAATTTTTTTAGATGATTTGAGATATTCTAAACAGACAAATCACAAATGACATAGCACACCTAGTCTATTTAAGAATTTCTCATATTATAAGAAATTTTTAGTTGAATTATACTTATGTACGGCACTAATTGCAGGCACATCTCTCAATAAGGATTCAAACATTGATTTGTTATGTTATGAGAGATTAATCCTTTCATTAAATCCAATACCCACTAGTAAATACTCCCTCAAATCCTATTTATAAGATACCTTCTAAAAGTAATTTTTAATTTAAAATATAACATACTTTATAATAATTAAATTAATTTTTTTAAAAATATGTGAAATGATTAAAAGTGTACTATAAATATTGGAAAGAGTATCTTATATTTTTAAACATGATATTTTGAAGGAAAAAAAAAATACTTTATAATATTAGAGAGAGAAAGGGAGAGAGAGCATTAACGTTGATACTAATTATGCATAAATTTTGGGCGCTCCCTCCATGCTTCACCGTCCCTCTCTCCAGCACAGTTACTGTATCTGGCTATGATCCCCCGGAGCATGGAACAATTCAACGAACGTAACGGACACGTGACCGCATGAAGAATTCGATTTCAACAGGGATACGTGGGGCTAGCTATTCCGTCGGCAATTCCCGAAATCAACGCTGCCGCTTAACGTCATCGCATCTTTTCACAAATATTCTTTACTTCCACTCCCTTCTCTTCTTCGACCACACGGTAATCCCCACCACATATAAATATATACACCAAAATAATCCTCCGAAGCACGCACCAAAGCAAGAATCATGAAGAGGCAAAGACTTATGAGCGTGAGAGCTTTCGAAGGTGCAGAAATGGCGTCCATGGTGAAGAAGAAGAAAGCAAAGAGTACTGAAGCTGATGACCAGAAGATGCGTAACGAGGAGGAGGAGAAAGAAGGGAAACAGAAGGTTGAAGAAAATGTTTTGGGCTGGCCAAGCTGGGACGACGACCACGATTATTGGCCTTGGATTGGGGATTTCGTGGACGAGCAAATGTCGTGGGGCTCTGTTTGGATTCCATTTTTGGATGAAGCTTTCGGTGCACTGTACGGTGATGTTGTTTGGGACGACGACATTTGGAATTTGAAGAAAGAAATTCCAAACCCATTCCAGAGTTGATTAGGGCTATATTCTACTTGTTCTGGTTTTCACTTAGGAATGAAATGTTGAGCTTTTCTCATTAATTTCACAGGCTGAGGCTGCTATGTTTTGGTTGAACTGCTTGACTAAAACGAATAACCATCTTATCTTCATCTGCCATATGAATTGGAAGCCCGGATTAATTCACACAGTATGCTGCTAATAGGATTAGTTGTAGAATACAAAACGCACACAGTATAATTGTTACTTAAGACTTACTTAAGACATGATAAATTTGAATCCCAAAATAAGTCAGATGTCGGTCCAACGAATCAGAGTTTTTTTGAACAAAGAATCAGAGTTGAAGAGTAAAAGCATCGAGACATGATAGTGAGGACTGAGGAATCCATTCCTTTCGAATGTAAGATTGGGACTGAAACCTTTCCGCCACTTCACATTTTTTGTTTGAGAGGATGATAAGTAAAGACTTTATAATAATATTAATATTAAAATAAGAATTTTAATATTAAAATATAGTAAAAAGATTACTAAAATTTGAGAATATTGATGTTGAAAAGTTCTAATCTAATATTAATATTTTTACAAGGTTTTTGTTTGTCATTCTACTTTTTTTTTTTGTTCTTTTTAGTTTTTACCATGTTCACATTTATGCAATAAGCAAAAGATTTTTTTTTCTGTTTGCTTTTTGCTTTTTTATAGAGCCTGAAAAGCTAGAAAGATGAATATATGAGAACTAGATTCTAACCTGTATAAATGTAAAAACTTTAATGAAATCACATTCAGGGATGGAAGATAATGAAAAAAAAATCTAGGTTATTAGTTTTATTTGGATCTTTGCCCTGTGTTGTTAGCATTATTAATGAGTTTTCAGTATTTATTAAAAAAATCGCATTCTAATTAAAACATGAGTAATAATAATATCAATGATTAGTAAATTGAAAAATATTAGCACCCATACTATCATAAGTGGAGTAAATACTATTCATGTTATTGGAACATAAATGTCTAGCAAATACCATGCATACTCCTACAATTAACATCCACAGTTTTAGAACATAAAAAATTTATCAATAATTCATACATTGAAATTAATCTAACTACTAAAGTTTTATTAGTCATTCATTAAACTAACAAAAATATAATGAACTGATATATCAAAAGGAGTAAACTTAGTAATTATTATCAAGTTTAGCAGCCTTTCAAAATACCATTACAAATGAAAAAAAAAAAAAACAACACATGTGTAATGGCTATGTGACTAACTTAAAAATTGACATACAAATCTTATAATTAACTCAGGTTTAAATATCCTTGTTATTATTAATGACAGACTTAAAACCAAGATTACCCACAACAAAAAAGTCAATGACAAAATCTTCAAAAAAAATCCCCTTAAACCAAGAGCTGAAACAAAATCTCAATGTTAGGGACATGGAATAAAAAATATAGAAAGGCAAATACTAAAACTACCGACATACTAAAAAGGCTTACAAACATTAGACTTGTGTGCTCTAGATGTTGTAGGAAAGTACATCCTAAATAAATTTACTTTCATTGAACTAAATATTTCTAGGAAATTCACCACAAGTACATGGCAAGACTATTGTATCTGAAATTGATAAGTTTTTGTTGCAATATTTGTCTCTGACTTCTGTTCATAGTTAGCAAAAATGGCTCAGTCCAGCAGTAGTCTAGGCATGTTTACATTTAACCAAGCCATTTAAACCATGGTATAATTTACATAAAACAGCAACCAAAGAGATAACAATTTAAGTGGTTCAAGGCTGGGAGACTTAGAAGGAAGTGGTAAAAGTTCAGCAATTGCAACATAAAATTCTGTTTACTATTGTGTTATAATTATTAATATTAGTCATTAACCTCAAGTGATAGTTACTAGCATGGTCACATGCAATTACATTTGAATCAAAAGCTTTTTTTTTTTTGGAGAAATTGAATGAAAGGTTTTTCCTGCACACTTTTTATCCCGTTTTGCTCTCCCTAAACTTGGCATAGTACAATCATTATCAAATTTGTATTGCTGAAATTGGCCTTACAAACTTGTCAAAAGGAAAAGTCAAGTTACAACTGATAATGCAGGCTGCAGCTAGCATTAACTTTGAAAAGAAAAGTGAACATATACAAACTTATCAATATCTCCTGAATAATCACACATCCTTGACCGTGAAATTCATTAAAATTTTAAACAAAATGCTATTTAGCAGGCATATGCGAATTAAAAAATAACTTGAAGCAAGCTGTGTAAAACGTTAAGTACTTGAAAGCTTGCAACTTGAAAAAAGTAAGAGTGAAAAATTTCAAGATCTTATATGTAGTCTAGAAGACAATAATTATCACCTTAAGTTACTAATAACTCGTGCACTACAATAGCTCATATTTTGACAGCAACAAACATGATCACTACAATCTCTTTAACATTCACTTTCAAAATCCTTTCAACATAATCACTGCACAGTGGTAACTTTGACAATTTGAATATCTTGAGTTTTTTTTTTTATATATATAAACAGAGGAAATCTAGTCAACATGGTATTAAGCAACAAAGGGTAACAACACAGTAGCAGCATCAATACTTGCATGAAATGAAACCTCACAAGTATTGAAGGACAATAGAGGGTAAAAATAGAGCAGGAGCATCTACACGCAATCCCAAAAACAGAAGGAAGGACACTTTTTCCTTTGCTACTTTTTAGTATATAGCTTAAACTGCTATTTGTGAAGTAATGAAAAAAGATTCAATATATAACCCACCAAACATAGCTAGCAAAGGAAGAACCTAGATGTGAAAATAGGATGGACATATGTAAATTTGTATGACATACTATCAGCGAGGAAGTATATATACATTGAGGTTTTTAAAAGCATTACATTATACATTACAATTAATAATAAGTAAAAAATGTTATTTTTTATTTACTTTTGTATGATTTGGATATAATTGTTCAAGGAAATACATTCAAGATCTTCCTCTGACAAATTTCAGCTTGTTGTTACGTGCTTTAATTCAAACTGACCGAATGCATCTTCTTGAATACTTTTTGTTAAATATAAAGCCATGGGATAACTGTGTAAAAAGATTAATATTTAATTATATTTAAAGTCATGAGGTTTATACAGTGAAAGGTGAATTATCAATGGTAAAAATATTAGAATTTTCATAAAGTGTTTTGTAAATTAGAAAATCAACACATTTCTTAACTTCTCTATAAACGTAGTCAAAAATAACCATCCAATTTTTCATTATGAAATCTTTAACGCTCTTGATAATCACAAAAGGGGATGGAAATTGCTAACTATTTTTTATTACTTCTAGCCATCTTATAAACCCCAAGAGTGGAGTACGGAAAGGACAAATAAAACCACATAACCTTGCAATAGAAATATATAGAACACAAGTAGTAACGGGCAAGGCTGAATAACAGAGCTCCAAAGATGAAATCATATAAACATCATGAAAAACCAAGTACTATCAATTGTGACATTAACTAGAGATGTCTATAAATCTATGAAACATAATATAAATGACCAGACAACTAAAATAGTTAAAACCCACAAAGTAACACACGATGAATACTAACTACTGTTCATCCTAGTAACACTCCAAAATGAAATGGCCAAATTATCACAAAGACGGAAAAAAAAACACAAGGGGAGGAAAGGAGTGAATCAAGGAATACTTAAACAAAAATCCCATATGCAAAAACAAATAAAAAAAATAGGTGGGCTAATTAGCCAATCTGTAAATTAACTCATTGGGAGTTAGCTTCTCTCCATTTTTTTTTTCTCTCCACTTTCTCTTCACTTTCCATCTTAACCATCAGATTCATTTTTGAACGGTTGAGATTTTATGTTTCATAAAATTATTATTAAAATATAAAACTTTATAAAAATGCATATAATAATAATTTTATGAAACATAAAATCTCAACCATTCAAAAATGAATCTGACGATTGAGATGGGAAGTGGAGAGGAAGTGGAGAGGGAAGAAAATGGAGAGAAGCTGGATCTAACTCACTGTGGGATTGGGTTATGTAGTGCAAGCCAAAATAGGCTTACATCTAAACAAACCAATTTTTTGGCCAACCTAACCACACCTTTTGGTAGGGCAACATGTTGAGCTTGTGTGCTCAACTCATATTACTAGTTCTAATTAAGCCTACTCATATGAAATTAAGTACAAGGTTGTTGATACACACAAGGTCAAGACTTAAGGTGTAGTTTGGACTTCGCTAGAAGAAAAATAATCAAAAAGGAAAGTTTGGAATTTCATGATCAAAATTTACACATGAAGAAAGTTTTGATTTTTGAATTAATTATGCAACTATAGCAGAAAAATTAAATATAATTAGTTGCAATTCATTATATCTAAATAAATAACTAGAAAAATTATTATAGTAGACTCAAGAAAGTATGATTCTTGTGAACACCAATAACTTGAATATCTTATTGCTATTTAAATAAATAATTTACATTATTTGAAATAATATTTACTATTCATTCAAAATAATTATGAAAATTTTAGGGCATTTGTGAATTTAATTGACAAGGTAAACGTCCAGTGTACTCTTTTTTTTTTTTGCTTTTTTTTTTTGAAATAATGAACTCATAAAAAATCAACAACTAGACTAAAAACAGTTCAAGTTTGGTGGAGCAGAGGATCCCTCCTCTTTTTTCTTTGAGATAATAATGTAAATTTGGTCATATATTATTTGTTTAGGAGCATCTAATAGCTTAGACTATCAGGTGGTGCGAAATAAATTATCAACTTTAAAAAATAAAACATCCAATAGCCTACTGTTAACTTTAGTTGACGAACATTATGTGGGGCCCACAATGATATGTGTCACTCCATGAGCATTCCACGTCAGCATGTGTAAATGTGTAAATTTAGCCACGAATTATTTTTCAAAAAGTACTAGGTTACCTCTATTATGAAAAGCGAACCATCCAATACCTTCCTTCAATTTTGATCAAATATTGTTTATTTTTATACTTATGAGACCCACGATACATCAATCTCTTCAATTTTTTTGCTTTCGTTCTTAGTGTCATCTCTAGAAGAAGAGATTGAAAGAGTTTTTATCTAAAAACATTTACCAAGAAGATGCAAATGAAGTAGAAATTTACTTTTATAACGTGTAGGAAAAGTTTGATTCTAACTTAATTTAGCCACGAAGTATTTCTTCTATTTTGTTAGCGTTGTCTTCATGAATGTCTTTAGATAATAATTTTTTGAAATTCTTTTTCTTGAGTTGAGAATGAAAATAAAGGCAAGAAAATTGAAGAGATTGACATGTTGTGGATCTCATAAGTATGAAAATGAATAATATTTGGCCAAAATTGATGGGAAGGTGTTGGATAGTTCATTTTATAGTATAGGCTATCTAATACTTCTCAAAAAATCATTCATGTCTAAATTTATACTTTTACACATGCTGACGTGGAGTGTCAAGTGTCATTGTGAACCCCACATAACGTCCATCAATTAAAGTTAATGACAGATTATTGAATGTTCTATTTTTTAAAATTAATAATTTATTTTGTATCATTTGATAGGGTTATCAAATATTCTTAAAAAAATAATGCCTAGCCGAACTTATCCCTTTACTCTTTTATGCAATACATCACAACAATATTTTTATTTTACTTGTGTGACATCCTGATTTTTATATAATAAAGAAATTGTGGAATTTAGGTTTTGAGGAAAAAAAATGATAATAATAGGAATTTATATTATTTGAGGTTATTTAGAAATAATATTATGATTAGGTATTTAATTATGAATTTAAAAATTTAAATTTAAAACCACATAAGCAATATTTAGTTAAGATATAATACATAAATAATTTTTTTTATGTGTGTGTTTAAAAAAAAAGAGAAGGTAGAAGGAACAAAAAAAAAAGGGGGGTGGAAGGTTGTTGTTTCTAAGTCCCACATTGGTTAGATGAGAGAAGAGAAGAGGTGCCTTCATGTATAAAAAGGAGGGGGTGTGTGCATTAGGAAGCATGAGAGGCTAAGATGCAATTTAGAGGAAATTGCAACTTTTGGCCCAAAGGTTTGAATAATTAAATTCGAACCTATAGTTTTTTTTAATATAATTTTGGGACTCACAATCCCATTTTTATATTATTTTTCTCTCTTCCTCTCACGTTGCTCGGCGTTTTCTCGTAAGGGGAGATTATTTTCTTTTTCTTCAGGTATGTTCTAACTTTCCTGTTTAGATTAGCATTTAAAAATTTATTTAATTACAAAATTAATTTTATAGTTATTTTCTAAATAATATTAGCTTTCTAGTGATATGATTATTTTGTAGGATAGAATAAATATTTTGATTAGGATTTTTCTATAAGATAGTTAATCTGATGATATGATGGATTAAAAATATAGGTTAAAACTCTTAGGGATATAATAAATATTATAGAATATTTTCTTGAGGTTAAAACTCATGTTTAAGAATTTTTGAGTTAAAATCTAGATCTATATGGTTGAATTTATGTGGAATATGAGACGTAGGGATAAACCTATGATTATTAAATATTTATTTAAGTATGAATAGGTATTTTTGAGGTTATAGAAAGGTGATTTGAGGCTTCAGGATAATTTTAAAATTTAATTTATTTTTGGACGAATTTTTAGAATATAGAAGGATGAAATTGTGATACTAGAAGTGATTTGAGGATAAAAAAAATAGTTTATTAGGGTACGAGAATTTTAGAAAAGAATTTGGGAAGTTAAATGAGGCATAAATCTTAAATTAGTGTTAATATGAATTATAGATCTAAGACTTTCTAACTATTTAAATTAGATTTATTTATTTTAATGTAAAATTAATATATAGTATTGTGAAATAATTATGTAGATTATATTGACAAAGATAGTGGTGAAAAAGGAGTTGTGAAGGGGAACTTGTTATTCAAGACACAAGGTAACCATTATTAATGTGTTGTGATGAGTGTGTTTGTGAATGGTTATGTGTTGTTTTGTTGTTTGGAAAAATTATGAATTATTGAAAATAAATACTGTATATACTTGTTTGAAATTATTGCCAAGTGGGTTAAAAATTTATTTTTGTTTATCATGATGAGATATTATTGTTCGGATATATTCCTGTTTGGATATTTGAATGATGCATGACTTGTCAGGATATTTTAATGTATGGTGTTAATGGGAATTTCTGTTCGGTTAATTATTACCACGTGGTAAGCCCTCATTGGACCCAATGAGTGGCGTGTCGCGTGGTCCAACTCACCTTTGGCCGGGTGATTTGGCGTCCGAGCATGGTGAAAGGAGGATATAAGGTGCAGTCATGCAATTAAATACTTGTTCGGTTTGTTTGAAAATATTGTTCGGTTAAATGTTTTGTGTGCCCACTTAGCAATCGCATGATTAGTTACATCCGCATGCATCATTACATATTAATTTTTGGTTACTGGGACTTTTAAGTCTCATTCCCCGTGGTTAATATTTTTACAGGAGCGAGTCCGGCCGAGAAAGCACCAGAGGTGTAATTATGGTGTATGAGACACCATCTTTTACGTTGCCTCTTATTTTGGATTATACAATGTATCTTGTGCCAACTTAGGACATATCTTCTTTGTGGAGCATATAAACTCTAATCCTTTTTATTAAATGCATTTATATGTTCAAGAGGATTATGTCTGTCCCTTTTAATTTATGACCTGATTTGAATAATATGCTATGAGAATCATGTCTGTCCCTCATGGTTCTAATTACTTTTTGAAATATTTTAAGACCTGTGGTATATTGTCTTGGATGTATCATGGTAGAAATTTTTCTACCATGATAATGGTTTTAATAATTTGTGAAAAATCAGTTTGTAAATTTGAGGGTGTTATAACTTGCATCAAAAAGTTTTGAATCTTTCACACTATCAGCAGGATGGGATAATGGTTTTAATAATTTGTGAAAAATCGGTTTATAAATTTGAGGGTGTTATAACTTGCATCAAAAAGTTTTGAATCTTTCACACTATCAACATCCATCCTGCTTTTACCTGGTCACTTAATCATAAAGGTCCAACAACTTATACGATGTGTCAGTACAAGAGAAGCTTCATTTTTTTAATGATAAGAGCCGTGGTCTGTTTGAAATATATAAAGTTATCCGATAAAATTAATTAAACTCGAAGAATTGAATGAATAGATACAGTACCTACCGGAAATGTAACGAACAAACACGATGTTAATTCATGGACAAAGAGAAGTATAGACGTATCAAAATACCTAAACCTAGGTTTAGAACTTTAAATACATGAGGATTTGAATTTTGATTTTGATTTCAACATCATCTGTCATTCAAATACATAAAAATCCATTAATCCAAATCCAAATTCAAATCTTATTATATTATAATTTATTTATAATTTCAAATTTTCTCTAAATCCTTTGAAATTTCATTACTCCAATTTTCTCATTTTCTCCCATTTTTATTATTAGTATCTTTATTACTTTCACCTCTCCTCTTATCTCCAAGCTCATGTATCTTAAGCCTTTAAATTTTTTTACATTATCTAAATAAAATATTTTAAATATTAGATTTTAAATTTAAGATTTTAAAACTAAAACTAAAATTCAAATTCAAATTGTTTAATTTTTTCTTTGGCCAATGATTCAAATTCATTAATCCAAACAATACCTCATAGACTTCAATATTTGTAGAACCCATAGAAGTGAAGAATTATATCTAAAAATATTAATTAATATTGGCAGGTTTTTTTTTGGTAGATATATTGGCAGGTTTTATATTGAGATTATAATAGTAAATTATAATTTTCTTGATCATTCATCCTAATTTTGATTTTTATAATCCTTTATAATAAATTTTAATAATATTTGGTCCCTCTCCTTAATCCTCCCTTAACTAGATCACATTTTTAAAAGAGAAAATGTGGGTAACGGCTAATGAAAACATTGGCGGAGGAAAAATAGTTGTGGGAAGTTATTACTGCTTAGTTTCTTCCTTGTTATACATGTAAAAAAAAAAAAGATTTGATTTTTGAATTTTGACTAGATCAATTAACAAATAAAATAAACGATAATGTAACTTTAATTTTAATTCAAACCTAGAAATCTAACTGCCTTTAAATTATTTACTACTATGTTTACAACTAAATAATAATAATTTCAGAAATTAATAAATGAGTAAAAAACATTAAATCTTTTTGGTGAACGGAAAAACATTGAATTGATTAAACAATGAACATATGTAAATAATATTAAAAAAATATGATCCTAAATATGGATATATTTACTAAAAACATCTCCCTAAATATAGATTCCATACAAACCTTCAAAAATTGAACTTTAAAATGGTGCTTAAGAAATATATAATATTAGAGAATGTGCAACTCCCATAATATTGTCTCTAAATTTTTTTTTTATCAGGCCACAATTAAAATCGTATACAAGGAAATAAAGCTAGAACAACTAATTAACAAGTCACAACTCACAAGCAAAAGATTCCTACACCTTAAAGGTGATGAGTAGTGAAAATCCCAATATGGTTCACTACTTAGTAAGCAAACCACCTACAACATTATTTGGTGAATAATTTCATGTAACTTTCTTAATTATCTCAAATGATGTCTCCCCATACGCTTTAGATTTTTCAAAGAATCATTAACATCCAATCTAACCCAACCCTATTGGGATGAGGTCCAATAATTTAGAATGTGCATCTTATTTCCCTTTCTTTTCTCTTTAAATCTTCACTATCCTCTCCTCCTGCCATCTCCACTTGCTTTATTTCTTAAAGAACATATGAAATACAAAGTAGGAGCACAGACTGACCTGAAACGAGAAAATAAAAAATGCACATCACGTTAAGGAAGTAGGTATCTTCCCCGTTTAATTGGAACGAGAGTGGCCACGTAATTTACAGCTTGAGCCGAGCCTCGAATTGGTTCCTCGTACCCCTTTATCTTGAAATTCTTTATCTCTTTTGTATCCACATCACAGGACTCGATCTCTCCTTTATGTGTTTATAGAAGAAGCTCCTTTCCCTTCCAGAACACCAAAGCACGAGGCTCTTCTAATAGACTTGTTATACTATGCATTTTCGTCCATGAAACCACTGCACCAAATCCATCCATCACCTATATATCAATCCGCAAAACCTTCCGACCAAAATCATAACAGCAAATTAAACACACCGATTCTTTCCACACAACTAGGTTTTTCCGATCAGGTTTGCTCTTTTCAACTTCATGTGGCAGCAACACTCTGCGGAAAACCTCGTCTCGGGCCAATTTCAGTCTCAGGATCATTGTCGAGGAATAATACCAATAACAAGTTCCTCTAAAGAACAGAGCAAAACAATTATATTCAAAACAAAAGTCATTGGCATTGCTAATGGACAGTGGTGTCCATGAATCAGTGCTCAGAGAATACTCCTCCACACCATTTATAACATAATCACCATATTCCGTCATTGTCCACATCCTTAAAACCTTGTCATCATCCGTCCGAGAATCATAACCCAAGGCAACGGTGAAAGTAAGTGATGAAACTGTTTGAATCTAAGTATCTCAATTCATATAGACAAGTAAAGTAATGTATGCGTACCTGAAAAATCCATGAGTGCTAGAGAGATCTCGATTACCTCGAGTATAGGCAGGTACATAACCCACAGGTCCCTAGAGCTTTCAGAGAGTTCAGAGATAATGGAAGTAGAAGAAAAATGAGTCGTGTGTTTGCGGTTACCGACTAATCGTCTTATATAGATCAGATCGATAACCGCCTTATTAAATAATTAAATAATTATATTATCTATTATCTCTGACTCAGTCAGTTAAGAGATAGGAAATAACTGACGGCTACTAGGTTGTGGGTTGGGCCTCTGCCCATTGGGCTCACTTGTGTGGTCCACCTATTATGGTCCACACAAGATCATAAGGACCAATTTATTGGGCTTATTAATTAATGCTAATTTATAAATAATATTCCAACAATCTCCCACTTGGATTGCATTAATTAAGCAAGTTGTATAAACAAGCCACAAATAAATTCAAAAAATGAAACTCCACAAAATCACTGAATCCTATGGGGAAACAAGTGATATGATATCTCATAATCTAAGTAACATGAAATTTTATTTCAAACACAGCTCAATAAGATAACAATATAAATCACTGATTCCTATGGGGAAACAAGTGACATGCATAGCGTACCACAACATAATCATTGAATCCTATAGGGATACAAATGATATAGACGCATCTAACTGAACTAAACATAACTCATAGAAGAAAAAAAAGCCTAAAGAGAAATTGCAACATAAAAGGTTCTCAAACTCCCACTAAACTAGGGCATCAAAGGAATTCACAATACCCATACAAGTTACATGATTTTGAAAAACTTCTACAGGTAAGCCCTTAGTCAGCGGATCTGCAAGCATCTGCGTGCCAGGAATGTGTACCACACGGGTTTGAGACTCAGTAATTTTCTCTTTCACAAACATAAGTTTGATATCAAAATGCTTTGTACGACTGGAATTTCTGTGATTGTTAGCATAGTATACTACAGATTTGTTATCACAATAAATGGTTAGAGGACGTGATATTGACTCAACTAGGTGCATGCCAGATATCAACTTCCTCAACCATATAGCGTGATGTGTAGTCTCAAAGCAAGCAATATACTCAGCTTTCATAGATGAAACTGCCGTAAGTGTCTATTTCACACTCTTCCAAGAGACAGCTCCTCCAAACAATATGAAAATATAGCCAGTCGTAGATTTACGATCATCCAGACAAGAGGCAAAATCTGAATCTAAAAAGCCAACAATCTCAAGATCTTCTGATCCCTTAAAGTCATAATCAAAATACCCAACAACCTCAAGAGAATTTGACCTTCTGTAAGTCAACATATGATCCTTTGTACCTTGAAAATACCTCATAACTTTCTTAACAGCCTTCCAATGATCCAGACCTGGATCATTTAAGTATCGACCCAATACTCCAATGGCAAAGGCTATATCTGGTCGAGTACACACTTGAACATATATAAGGCTACCGACAGCAGAAGCGTATGGTATCTTTCTCATTTCAGCCCTCTTCTTATCATCCTTGGGACACTGTAACTTTGACAACAGCTCACCTTTTTATACAGGAGCAGGTGAAGGAGAACATAAATCCATTTTGAATCTCTTAAGTACCCGCTCAATATAAGTGGCCTGTGATAAACCAAGAATACCACGAGATCTATCATGATGAATTTGTATCCCAAGAACGAAGGAGGCTTCACCCATATCCTTCATATCAAAATATCAAGACAATAGGTGCTTTATCTCATTAAGGAAATTTATTAAATTGCTGGCTAATAAGATATCATCAACATAGAGAACAAGAATGGTAAAATTATTCCCATCAAACTTCTGATAGATGTACTGATCTGAGACATTCTCAACAAAATTGAGAGAGGTGATAACTTCATCAAATTTTAGATACCACTGCCTAGAGGCCTGTTTTAGCCCATAGATGGATCTCTTTAATCTGCACACTAGATGTTCTTTACCGGATTCAACAAAACCATTAGGTTGTGTCATATAGACTTCTTCATACAAATCGCCATTCAAGAACGC